TTGAGAAAGATAATGACATGCTTCAGCTCCTAAATCAAGATGATTTTTGTTGAATATAGAAATAAATGCACATTCTTTAAGACAATTAACAAAATCATTAATATCTTCATCGCAAAGTCGATGAGATTTCGGTGGATTAAAATACCAAACAGGATCAGTTGTACGTTCACTACAATAGATTCATAGACAAAACAATATACAAATAGTAATAAAAACAAAGTTCTCAATCAAATATCAAGCGTAAATATGTAAAAAAAAGAAAAAAAGAAGTGAGATTTATATATGTAATTTACTTACAAATAAACTCGATCAACAAATGCTTGTGCAAGCATTGAAAGAAAACTAACAAGTTCTATCTGAAAGTCTCCTGTATTTGATGGATGATAAAATATTTTTATTGCAATTAATAAATCTTGTAAATATTGAATACATGAACTATGATTTCCTATCATAGCGACAATCCATGTAGCAACAACTGGTATAGAATAATTTTGTGTTTGTTTTATTAATTCTACATTACCAATTGGAAGTGAAAGATTTTTTAATATTCTTGTAAAAATCTAATCAATAAAAATAATTAATAACAATCAAATAAAATAAATCTTACACGTGCAAGCCATGGTTCCCAATCAATATATCCAATATTACACCAAGCAACAAAAGAAAATAAACTAATTAAACTCTAAATATAAATACATTAGCGACTAAACTCCTATTTTTTTTTCTAATAAGAATTCAACTAACTTGTTCCCATGCTGGATTATTACAAACACTTTCCCAAATATCTAAAAATTCTGATAACCACAATCTAAAATAAGTAAATAAATAGAAAATAAAAAACAAAAATTTTCATAATTATCTTACTTAAATCCTTGATGATGTAATTCAGGTGGTAAATGAACAGGTAAAAACATATCCCAATAATCCATAACATCTCCACAGACCGTATCAAATGGACATAAACATGGTCGAAATTCATCAAGAATTTCTTGAGTAGCTGTTGCTGAAAAATATGGACGACAACTACGTACACAAAATATAAATGAATTCGCAATATTTCTAAATTAAAAAAAAAGAAAAGTAAATTCATTTATTAGCAAACTAATTGAAATACAAACTTGGGCATAAAAACAAGTGAATAAGATTCATCATGATTGAATAGAACAAGTTTTGCCCATACATAAAGTATTCGCCAATCAATAATAAGATCATTTCTTGTAATTAAACGTGTTTTACTAGAAAGGAAAATTTATACGAACTACATTTTTGGTTTAGTAATTATCTGAAAAAAAGATATTAAAACGAACCGTGTAAGTTGAGTTAATATATCGAAACATATTTGTGCATTGATATAATTTAAATTTTTAATGGAAAGAATTGACAAATAGAAATTAATTAATTTTATATGATTGGTTTTCGTGAAAGAAAAACCATAAAGTGAAATAAATTGTTGTAATTTTGATGACCATAGTGGAAAACCAGGTTGTAATTCTTGTAATTGAATCAGACGTGAAAGATTTTCACAGATTTCTTCAAATGATTCAGAACTTTGCCGTTTAATTGATTCATAATATGGCAAATATTGATTATAAATATTTGGTTTTTGTAAATCATTATCCGAGACTTCGTGTATAGTTTGTTTGCAATTATACATTATTTTAAAATATATCTATAGCAACAAAAATAAAACACATATAAAATATGAGATAGAAATTACATCCTTTTTGCAAGCGATAGAATTATTATCTTCAATTTCCTGCATCTGTAAAGTAGCCCAAAGTAAAGAACGTCATATTGACAAGCCCTTTCACTATTCAACGTCTAATCAATAGGAAATTCGAAAACCCTATTGCAATTGATTTAATTTATAATACAAACATTTATAAATATTCATCAAGAAATGATGGAAAGTAGGTTTTGCTTTTCGGCATCAATTACTCCAATCAGAAAAATGCAAGACTAATAAAATATATCATGCTTTTTTTTTCTATTACTGTCTGTGTTAACAAATCACAGAACAATGGTATTACAAATCGAAGAAACATAAATTTAGAAACTCGAATAAGATGATATTCATGTTGAAACAATGATGTATTCATATCAAATTGAAAGAAGCATTGTAGAGAGAAAGTTGGAAGGAAAAACATTCTCAATAATACATCCTTATTTAGCGAAAAAAAACTATATATCGGACCATATGATATAAACAAGCTTACTATTGGTCGAAGATAATGCACCAAACACATCAGTCGAAGAAATGTTGTACATTTCATATAGAAATTATAAACTCGGTCAACATGTTTATCCTTATTTTACCAAAATTTAACCACTTTATTTGCGAGATTCATAGAATCATTAACTTCCACAATTTTGTCAACATAATGATTTCTTACTATTGAAATTTTGAAATAGTTTAATTATATGTTCTTCTTTCATTCGAAATATCTCCACTGAAAAGAAATATCGTCCATGCGATCTGATCTCATCTAAGTTTTAGTACATAGAAATACAAAAAAGTCATAGAAATATGTTCTTCTACGAATACAATAACGCATTTCTTGCTTAAATCATTCCATTTTTGTCCATGAATATTTATTGACGCAAGAAATCGAAATGATGAATTTACAAATCAAACATACAATATAACTATATTTGATATATAGAAAATATTTCCACACCTGGTTAAAAGAGAAATAGATCATATTAGTCATTTTTACTATAAGGAAAAACTCTGTGATTTTTTTATAGCAAGTCTTTTTCTAGCATAAAATCTGAGTAGAATCATTGTATTATAATAATGAAAACCTGCGTAATTAAACATGATACTTTTTCCATATAAAAATTATTTTTTAAAACATTGGTATTTTTATATCGTCAAATTTCAAACTGCTTTCAAGGGTTTATTTTCTTTTTCTAATGAATATGGAAAATGTAAATAGCATTAAGCACGATTCCTATTTGAACTACCTGGTATATACTAAAAATGTTCAGATAATCATTTCACAGTTCTTGATCTTATTAGATACGTCTAGAAATAATTTATACAATTAAGCGTTTGTTTCTCACTTCAATGATATTTATGAAAGGAAAGGTGAGTGATTCATAATAACACAGCGAATTGTCAACAGAATCTAAACTATCAAAACAAGGTCTTTTTTTCAAAAAAAATATTAATCAGTGAGAAATATATACATCGTTTTAATATACATATGATGGAAGTTCAGATCATACAATGAGACTTGTGAGAAAATTGGTGTATGAAATAAAACCTGGAAGAAAACAGATTGACCGGTCTCCAAAGTTAATAATTAGGTCTTCATTGATGCAGTTTCTTTCAAAATCATGAAACTGTTGCTTCTAAAATTTTCACTTTTTTTATTTATTTTTTATACCGCACAACTATTCGAAAAGGTATCAAGCAAACTATCAGTTATCGTTTGTCGTTTTTGATTTATGCAAGCATAAAAAACAAAACATTTTCATCAATAAACTGCTTGAACATTTCTCTATATTATATCTAAATAGTTTGAGCATTTTTTCCATAATCAACATTACTACGATTTCAACAAGCAAAAGAGACTCAAAACCATTCTCTTCAGTACTCGAGTAAGAGTCTACCAAGAAAGATGAAATACTTCATGATAGTAATACATTGAGTTATTTCCATCTATAGGTGTAAATGATACATAGTTATACCGTAGTATGATGATGCTTTTCTTTCCTTGTAATGGAATGGTACCTTTCGGAAATATGACTAAGAGAAAAAGTTTTCGAAAATAAAAGTGTAAGAAAGGAAAAAATCATAATAAAATCATGATTTTACATCATTCTTAGCTAGTCGAAACCTAATGATGCGTTGAGTTAAAGCTCAGTGGTTCTGAAAAAATTGAAATCGAGCTGGGATAGTGAAAGAAAATAGAATGGAGCCTGAATCAGAATCGTTCGAACCGAAAATTTTTCAATAATAGTTGGGGATCTACGATTTCACTAGCGGTAAACTATACGTATGTCTCACAATCGGATGAAACGAGAATTCCAAAATTGGCCAAAATTGTGATTAAAACCTCTGAAAAAAATTTAGCATCGCCAAAAAATCACATTTTCAGAAAGATCATGGTTAGATGCTCTGATCTGCACTTTCGTAATGTAATCATGATGATTTTGAGTCAACCCGTCGTTGAAAGTGAAGCTTTTACAAGAAAAGACGATCTTTTTCTTACAACAGTTGTTTTGTGACGCTTCTCCTGTATGTCTCATCGGGATAAGAAATTGGTTCAACTATTTTTTTTTTTTTTTTGAAATTTCACGATTTAGGCTAGCTAGTAGCTCATCAATTTTTAAAACAAATGACTTTTACCAAAGAGAAAAATGCCCCCCTTTGAACAAATTCGTATCGAAACTTTACTTTTTTTTTCATAAAATTTCTCATCTGCATTGAAGATTTTTTGACTTCATCTATATATCGAGATGAGCGAATGAAGAAAACCAAAAGGGTGCGTGTGGGTTTGTGAGTAAAACTAACACTGATATACGTACTGACAGTCGTATCACGCTTTGCGTTGGTGCGAATGTGTGTGTAGGTATTGGTACGTTCTTTCTTTTTTTACTATTATATTCTCTGGTAGTCCTTGATCAATTCTGATAGACACTAGTGTTTACTAATGGATTAAGTAATAGAATTACTCATAAAAGTCGTATTGAAGATTCAATGTGGAATTCATATAAATCTGAATTAATTCATACTTCATTTCCATCATGGATTCGGAAAACTATTTCCACACTTTATTCATCAAAAAAAGTTTCCTGAACAGTCATTCGCACAAGCTGGTAGATTCACACCTTTGACTCATACCCAAACCCGACTCCAAGAGCAAGCAAATTTTATTCGAGAGTTGATTTATGTTTATACAAGCTAAAAAGATTCTGTCCATATAATCTAGAAGTTGGCATAAAAAACTTTTCGTATTTTAATGCTCATTGTTCTTTCTTTAATTAATTGGCTAGCCATTGTAAGATGGTTTGGGCGGAAACTGACAACCAAGTTGCTGCAGATTTTCGAAGGCACAATATAAGCCAGCATGGGCACATTGATCCACGCTCTTGCCCAAAGCCAGATAAGCAAGAAATCCTGATAGAATTCATATTTTTCAGAGTAGATTCAACTAGTAGAAAATTAGCAAGTTCTCATACCTCCGGCTAATGCATCACCACAGCCATGTGTATCGACGATTTTTGAAGGTTTTTTCCATCGATATTCTTTAATACCATCAACTTCAAAGATATTCAACCTATGTAGATCTCCAAATAAAGAGACAGGAAAGTTTTCTTACCTGTTGCAACTGTTGTCCGCTCAGGAATTTTTGTTACGACAATGACCCGTGGTCGATTTCGATTCCATTTCGGAGTGTCACGAATGGCTTCGAGAACAGCATTTAAGCTGGAGGACTGTAAGATTCAAAACATCATGAAGAATTTTATCAACTTCATGTCACCTATACCTGAACATGGAGTTGAGTTTTAGCAAGAACTTTCGCTTCCTTTAAAATATAGTTGATATTTTCCTATTCACTTTATATACGAACTTACGTCTTCATATCCGAAAACCACATCAGCATAGGGTAATGCACTCAATAAACGAACTCCAATTGGATCATCGCAGATAAATTTTGCCGATAAAGTCATACTGAAAATCTTGCCCATTTTGAATGCATGCTCACATACACGCATAAATGCTTCACGACATGATACCAAAAAGAAACCCTTTGAAAAGAGAAATATTTGACCAAGTTAAAACAATATTTGCCGTTATGACCTAGCATTAGGAGTTTAACAGTTCGATTTTATTTGCATACATGAATAAATTAATCAGAAGAAAAATGACAGGGTTCGAATTCTAAGACTGCTTTCCAACAAAGTGTTGAAATATAATTTGATTATTTGCACAAGGACAAATTGTTCAATATTCAAAAACTTTTAAACCTAAGGGCTCATGGTTCAATAATACCTGCTGTAGTTGATACTTTAGTTGTCAAATATCAATATAAATAAGGCTTTCTAACTTATCAATCACTCACCAGACGATACTTCATCGAATTGGATTATTTTCTATTGTTTGCGTAGGTGTTTCACAAATCCTTTTAGATTTGATAATTGAATTCTTTTTACAAGCGTTACAAGAATAGCAAATGTGAAGGAAAAATGATGGAGATAAGAAGTAGTTGTAATTCTTTCCACTTCTATTATTTCAATGTTAGTAAATGTACATTCAGCTGAATGACAAATGTGATTATTTATCTAGGACTATACTTACTTTCAAAATACACCTATTATTTTGGTAAAAATGAATTTCAGGTACAACCAACGCAGTACTATTGATATATAACAATAAAAGTAATCAAATACTTATGAGAAATGTGGACTCGAACTCTGTATAATCCTTGCTCCGACTACTTACGAATAAACTCTTCTAACTGATAAATCACTATTGAGTTAAGGCTAGGAGTGCTGTAGTCGCTCTCAGGAACTCAAGGACGCCTCATTTTTAAAGTTCAACTTGAAAATTTGTACAGAAACAAATCTTAACGAGAATCATCACTCGCATACGCTGACAAATTTGATTTCTCAGCAATAAGCTCAGGACATGAGTTCTTTTTAGAATATTCATAACTCATTCGAGTTAACATAATGCACATAGTTTCGACTCAAAAGCGATTTATAAGTTGGAAGAGTTCATTTTTGAGTTCGACAACTAATTGAAAAATGTATATTTCTTAGTTTTAGCTGATTTATTCTTCAACAAATGTTGCTCTCAAACAAATCTGGATTTAAAATCTAAGAATGATAATTTTTATGATTTTTCGCATAGAGAAGACAAGCTTATTATGGAAGAAACGGAGAGTATTTATCAATTGATAATTAGACGAAAAATATTCATTTGAGTAGTACTTACTTCTGAGCAAAGAATTTGAGCTTGTTCAATTACGCCCCAATTCTCTCTCTCATCAAGAAAATCGGCTGTGAAGGCCTCTGATGCGCCAAGACTTGCAACCATGGTTCGAACTCTTGAAAAATAGAGAAATATCAAGAAAAACATCAGAACACATATACTCACTGATCACGAGAATTGATTAAGACGGCACATCTTCCTGTTGTCAATTTAGGATGAGTCTGATACTTGACATCAAGACCTGCAGATTCGGCCAATTGGATCAAGTTCTGCTTTTCGAAATCATCGCCAACACATCCCATATAGGAAGCAATATGTTTTTGTTCGAGAAACCACTGCAAAATTGTATCAAAAATTTAAATCCATATCTGAATCTTTTCTCAACTAAACTGTATAGAATTTTTGCAGTATTCTATTTTTACTCTTGTTCAACTCTTGAACTCGAGGATTCCATTGTCATTTCAAAGTTTACAATAGTTCGTTAGTGAGTAATAGTAATTCTTGTTTCTCTATTGTTTAGATGCATAATGATGAAACTCCAAAAGTAATGATTTTTGATTTCATTCTTAATAAACTATTTCTATCGTAGATTAAAACTAAAGCGATTTAACCAATCCATTACAATACTAGGTGGATGTCAAAATCTCTCATTCAATATTTATCGATCTTGATATTCTTTTCAGCAAAAACTTGTACGAAAATCATTATTCAAATTTAAATTCATTGATCGCAATATTGTTAGAAGCCCTAACTCTAGCTAAGTAAGATTCAAATCTTGTTCTGAATCCGTCATGCTCAAGTAACATGAACTAATACTAACCACAATGGTTCTCATAATGTTTTGTGATGAGCCACCAATTGCAAGACGTCCCTGTTTATTCAGTGTTCGAAAACTGAAAAGAAAAATAAGATCATCTATTTCTTGAGTATTACAAACTCACAGTGGTGTATGTTCATCACGAGCCAAAATTGCTTCGTTTTCTTTGAGTTTATATCTTCAATAGGTCATAGTTGAGTTACAAGACTTTTCGAGAATACTGAAACATCTTACCGTTCTAAAAAATCTTCATCCACTTCTTTACTCAGATCCAACAGAGGATTTCCAATGCCGAAGAATGATCCTCGTCTATAAATGTTAATATTGGTCTTTAGTTTAACAAAGGCTAACTAATATTATATTTATTTACTTTAAAATCATCTTTTCTCCCATGGTGACTGATTTAATATTGTTCGACTGTATTATATTGGAAAAGATCAAATTCTACCAAGTATTTGAGAAGATCTAGAAAATCAAGACACTTGACATGGAAGAAAATAAATATTCGAAATGCAGATTTTTATTTGAAAAATTGCATTAAATAATGAGTGAACCAGCACTAATGGCTGCGTTGCACATTTACAAAAAACAACAAGATATATTCAGAGATGTAGTATGAAAGACTCTGTAATATACAATACAAATCTTATTTTACGTATATACCTTCAGTTTTCAAAATAAACTAGATTCTGTATGGACACAGGTCTTTTAGTCATGCTCACTCACATTCACCTCGTAAAAAAAATGAATTTTTTGTCTATTCCAAAATATGATGGTAGCGAATAACACAGAGTCTGATGAAACTTTCTTAGAGCTAGCTGATTGGAGTTTCAGAGATCACAAGAGATGGACATGATATCTCATAATGCCAAGTAGAAAAACAAGAATCTTTGTCTCGAGGATTAACTAGTTTCTTATTGCATTTCTGGAAGACTATGCAATCAATAGAATAAAAACATCTCTCTACAATTAAACCTGTGTGTTGATAAAATCAACATGAAAGCCAGCTTCTTGATAGATGCAAACAATGTATGCATTTGAGTGTCTAGATGTTGCATTGTATCAAAAAAAAAAAAGTGAAAGAATAATCAAAACGAAATCTATCCAAATGGCATGGCATATTTGTCTTATTTTTCTTTTCTGATCTAGATTTTTTTTTCTTTCAACAGAACTGATTGAAGTAGAAGAGAGAAATAAAAAAATTGTTTATTCAATTCTTTCTATTGTCTCGAATGTAACTGTTGGCAGTTTTATGTAAGTGAAAGACTTCAAGCGAATGAATTTTTTTTTGCTCTGACATAATGCACAAAGATACATCGAACCACTCACCATAGAAAATGAAAGTATTGTCACGTGATACTTTCGTAACTCATGAATAAAAAAACGAAATAATCAAACCTTTCATATTTATGAGACGCTACGAAACTTTTCTTTCTAAATATCGACGTCAATTCTAAACGGAAGACTTTGTTAGAAATAATTATAGTCAAATTTTGTCTGTTTGACGATCCTTGATTATGAGAGCCATTCTTGAACTCTGCTTTGTTTGACCTTGAGTTTCTTGTGCATAGAGAAAAAGATCTAAATGCAAATGAGAGAGTATGACTGTGGGTGTGATTAAAGGGAAGACACAAAATCACATTTGCGTCACAGAAAAAAAAAACATTGAATTGAATGCATTATTAAAAACAATGACAGCAGATTTATTGACGTGTATAAAAAGTAAAAATATTTTTATTATATTTCTCATCAACCAGTAAATATCATGATTCTAAGGTTGTGGGTGTACATGTGTATTGCAAGTTTCTGAGCGTGATATTCGGGTGTCAAGATAAGACTTATCCTCATAACTTTGTTTCTATATCTTGGACGCTGGAGACATATGATTATAGAGTCGGGTATCCATCTCGTTACATCAAATTCGTAAGATGAATATCTCAATACCGGAGTTAAAATATTATACCATCCCTCTAGAGTACTCGATAGACTTCCTTCTCCATTAAAAATATGTATCTTCTAATAAATTCTCTTTCGGGGTAGAATTTAATTTTTTTTATTGTGGCCACAAGTTGAGAAAAGTCGGACGTATTAGAAGATGATATAGTAGCATTCATATTTATCGTTGTAGAAAACGTCGAATTTTATTATTTTCACTATAGTATATAGTCTTCTACCTTTTCGTTATAAAAGAGTTTTCTGATATCTTTTCGTTATAAAAGAGTTTTCTGATATCTTTTCGTTCTAAAATTATTGTGACACTCGGATACATTCCGGTTCGAATTCTTATATGATTACTGTGTTAATAAATATCGAAATATGATGATGTGTACCTGGGACAACTGTTGTTTAGTCAATAACAAGAAACAAATCGTAATATTCGTAGTTTCATAATTGATTCATGGGTTGTTTATGCTAGAATTCACAGTTCGACTATTAAGCAAGTAGGTTTTAAACCCATCAAACAACTGTATCAGTGAAACTCTAGATATTAACAGAATAATTCATTTTTTTTACGTACAAATTTCCACGGATCATATTATGTATTTGATACAGCTTTCACAAAATTCATTTCATGGTTGTTGATTTTAATTATAATGATACAACTAACATTGACTTTTTATACATACTTTTTTGATTTTATTGGATATGGTTATTGATGAACTAAATCAAAAAGTTAAAGTTTTAAATAATATGAAATAAGATATTAATCTGAATCAATGTTTGCTGTTTACTGACACGGCAACCAATTCATCATAAAGAATCTTTTTTAATCAATCGACAAAAAAAAGGAGATATTTTACTGTCTCTACTCAATTTTTTTTTCTCAAGATGAAAAGATCGTCAAACTTTTGCCATGGCTTAATTTTACATCGTATTTCAGTTGACTCTATGGCATTAGAAGATGAAAATGTTATGTCATCAAAATATTCCTGAATAAAAAAAACTACTATGATTGACTACGTAGTAATCACAAGAATATAATTTGATTTCATAGAACGTTGTCAAGTTAATTGTATCGTATGAAACACGATTATTGTAGCAATAGATTTATCATTCTCGCACGAAATAGCAAAATAAAACAAAAAAACAAAATAAAAGGAAACAACATAAGCGCAAAATTCGCCATTGAATTGGTTTAGATCCTAACACGTTTTTTTTTGTCAGTCAATGTAAGTTCTACGACGCCTTTGTTTCTAGAATCGAACCAATTTGTCAAGATACTCTCGAATAGAAAGACATTGCGTCAACATTTGTTCTTCAAAACGAAATAGCCAGGCCGATAGTTCATATAGACAGCAAACAAAAGTAATATTTATCTTTTTGTGATAAATAATGTATTATATACCTTTAGCAATATATTTTCAAATGGTTCTTTTTTCGTTATGTATGTTATTTCTTTCTGTTGAAAGTCAACATATTTGAATATTAGAAGTGTTTATAAAATATTGTTATGTTATATATTACAATGTATATTAACTTGGAATTTCTTAAAGCTTGTTTAGAATTGAAAAAGAAACTGAATGATGAAGTAATTTAACCATTAATTTATTCAATTTTCTTTAGTTTTATTTTTAGAACGTTTCGCATCTTTTGTTATACTATTGTGATTTTCAGTCTAACATCAACTAAAAGATCATGAATATAAATCAATTTATCTTATATGTATGATATTTAATCTTGATTATCAGATATTAAAACGGGTGCATTTTTTCTTAAGTCATAAGGTACGACTTATCTTAGATGATATAGTTATTGTTGCTTTTCTATTACTGCTATTTTTTTTTCTGTGCAGGCCATCAACGTTATTCAAATAAATCTATTAAATATTTACACCAAATGAAACCATTCTATTGACCAAATACAGTGAGATTAATCTTAAGTATTCCACATTCGAGTGAACTAATGAAAATATATTTACTGCTTTGTTATCGCATCAAGACTATATAAAATAATTGATGGTAGTCGACTACGATTTTTGCTTTTATGTAATACGAGTCTTGGTGATTTTATTATATTGATGAATTCGTTAAATATGCCTTTATTTAAGAAACTAATATTTGTTCATTTGTATTATCATAATAAGTTATTACTTGATATTTGTTCATCTGTTGTCTTAAATCTCGAATTGTAATCATTAAGTTTACTCAGTACTAAAGAACAGACCATGATATGACCGTTAGATATCGAAGATTGTTATGAAATACATCGGACACAACAACAGAATTTCTTCTGCAATTATTTTCAATTATTCGTATTTGTTGAAAATTCTACGAAGTTTTATGTTGGATAAATGTATTATGTCATTTTTTTTGTACAAAATGTAGTTGCTTTATTGAAATCTAATAGGCCAGTTAGCCTGTCAATAGTTGCCTAACATAAGCTTTCGTTATGAAAATGGGAGACCGTCTACATTATCAACTCACAAGGAATTAGACGTTCTGAATCATATGAAAATATATGCTGATCGAGTGTATTTCACAGATC